TCTAGATATATATATCTCTAGATATATATATATATATATCTCTAGATATATATCTTTTTTGTTGTTGCAGTATTTGCAAACAAAGAGGGTAGTGTTACAATTAAAGATAACATATCATATCTCGGCCAAACTTGCTATTGAAGTCCTGTTCATTTTAATTGGGCCTATTCATATTACATTGTGTGTTGGTGAAGGACAGGAATGACATTGTTGGTGGTTCCTCTGTAGATGAGCGTCAACTTGAATTTCAAGAAAATAAAGTCTCTCTAAAGTAATATTAATGATGACAATACGTCTGCATTGTTGTTTTAATTAACCATTCTTTCTGTAAACACGAATGGTCCTTCAAGAAAACGTGTATGCTGTAGTACGTTATCTATTTGAATTCATTACATTTTATTTTGAAAAAACAAAAGCCCAAATCATTTTGTTGTAGCTGCTGCACGTGAGTCTTTGTCAGCACTGTTCACTGACCTCTTCTGGATGAACGTGAGGGTTGCGTCTCTGACTCCAGCTGAATTTGGCAACAATACTTTGTTCTAGTGTTTTAATCCTTTCGCAGCAAACAGCATCTTTGTATTAAATACATTTAAAATGTTTAACGCACCCAACACATGTTTGGACCTTTTTTTTAGATTATCAGCTAAAGATGTTGAGCAATGAAGCCTTTGACCAACCTGCCAGAGGAGCTGCGTCCAGGAAACACCTCCTGCTTTTAATATGTATATCATGAATACTGTTGTCAACGTTCCTGTAGGCTGACTACATTTATGGTGACTTTGTTCTGCAAGAGAAAAATTACTTCACGGAATATTTCTATGTTTGATAAAACTTCAATTTGAGAGAAATTGTTTAATAACTGCATTAAAGAGAGAGGAGTTTCTATTATTCAAAATGAAAATTAGCATGTAGTCCAGTCTAGTGATATCTGTTGTACTTCTTTGTCGGTCTCAATCCGTGGTAATATAAGAATGGGCAGCGAATGATCAGCCTTTTGTCACCCGGTGTCCACTGCAGTACATCTCGTCACGGGATTACGGCTCGAGGGGATTATCAAATCAGACTGAATGCTCTCCATCTGTCCCTCGCTCACCGGCTGAACCTTGAAGTTTGAACCGCTGGGGATTGCTTTAATGTTTGTCTGCTGTTCAAGGTTCACGGCACAATATGACCAAAGCGCCGCAGGTAGTAGACCTTTTTCTCAACAACGATTTGGAAAGAAGTAGTATTTTTTTAGATGCAGTTATTTTACATTGCATCCTTCACGGTCAGTGGAAATCACAAGATGACAGATTTCTGATTCTGGTTAAATCTTTCATGCATCTGTAGATCATATTTCACAATCCTAAATCAATAATTTTTATTATAGTACTATATAATAATACAGTCTTTTCAGCTGTGTGCTCATCAGTCTGCCAGACAAACCCAAATGTTTTGAGGATGCGTGCCGAAAGTTGCCTTTGATCTTTTTTTAGTGTGCAGCTAAAAATGGAAACGCGTCAGACGGGGTTTTTTTATTTTGGGGGGGTAATTATTTTTGGATCAGGCTCCACATGCGCAATGATTCAGAATATCCAACGAGGCAAAGCAGCCCGTCGGCTGCTCTCATTCACAAAGTTTGTCTCGCTGAAGTGGACTTGATTTAGAGGATGGCCTGATTACGTAAGAGGACCTGAGCCATTCATGAATGAGAGTCCGGGTCCTCGGGACTCTGGTTCACTGCTACTCGTGTGTGTGTGTGTGTGTGTGTGTGTGTGTGTGTGTGTGTGTGTGTG